CATCGTGACGTCGTGACACCAGCCTGGTCATGTGACGAGTGTTTCAGGCAGTTTTGTGTTACTGTGTGAATCATGTCTGGATGCAAATCATCGCTGATTCAGTGATACGGTGTTTCATTTCAGTGTAAACATAACCTCAGTAGATTATTCGGTTGTATACGGTGATGTTTTTCTTGATAACGAAACATAACGGAACACTGCAGTTTTTCTTTTTAAATTCATTGAGACAAATTATAATACACAAATGAACAGGCAGTTTATAAAAAGGAAAAAAGAAAGAATACAGCGACACTGAGATGAAGAAAACCAGGCTATTTACTCAGAATTCTTATCGCCAAAAAAGCCCAAAGGAAGTCGTCATCCAAATGGTTCCAAACATTTGCCGGTTTTGTGACGTAAACGTGAACAGAATCCACTGAACTGTCACCTGAGTCTTATTCTGCACCGTGTCTGAGCTGTAAACAACGACAGACCTGGTGGAACCTTCCTGGACGACCCCGGAGCCCTGTTCAGACCCCGAGGAGAGGTCCCCGCTTCGTCCCGCTGAGGCTGTGGGAACCAGAGCGAGGCCGAGTCCAGGGATCAGACCCAGTGGGACCGGCACATACTGGGACACGACCAGAGCGCGCATTCTAAACATGATATCACTCAAACACAGGGTCACGCTGTCCCAAAAACATGAAAAAAAAACCAAGTCCAGTGTAAACACAAAGTTTGCAGAGATCCAAACTTCTTCCTCATTTAAGTGATGTATTCAGAGCGTCCTCACTATTCATCATGATGAGTCTAGAAGAGTTTTTCACAGCTCTCAGAGACTAGAGTGGAGTTTTGCCCGGAGTTTTTAGTATAAAGAACAGGACTGAGGGAGTGTGACGTCACCCTCAACGTTGAGCGCCAGTCAAATGAAGCCCAACGAGGTCAGGGCATGGATCTGTTACAATAATTGGACGGGGTGTAGACTTTTTTCACAACGGCCAGAAGAGCCGCGATGTCGGGCAGACGTCACTTCTGGTTAATGCTTTTCTGTGCAAATCTTCAACCAACAAGGTCCACAAAGAATTTATCCACAACTATCAAAAGAAGAAAGAGCAAAATGTAAAGGAAACAACGAGCCACATCAGTCACACAACAAACTCAGCTCATGTTCTGGTCCTGGAGACGTGGAGCAACTGCACAAATCTCTGAGTCTGTGCAAATCTCCACATCATCAAATCCATTTTTAATTTTAATTGTAGAATCAGTCTGAGTGAACAAGTTCCTTTGGTTTTATTCATGACCTGTGTGATGTTTTTGATGGTTTCACTCGTCTCCAGCTCAAACTGTTCGACCAAATCACAGAGTTTAAAAGTTCACAGCTCACGATTCATGTTCTCACACTGAACAAACGACTTCAACAGAGCGAGACCCTCACGAAAGGCGACTGGATTCAAACAGGTTTGATTATTGCGACTTACGATTGGCGATCGGGAGCTGGTCGTGAGGTTTTAATCGGTTCTCGTTACTCCATGTTACTTTTAAGCCAAAACTCGGCCCAATCACAAAAACAGAAAGCTCAATGTGGGCGCGGGGGGGAGCAGGACTGCACAGCGCAAGAGCCGGCGGGTGGGATGATAAACTGCAATCCCACAAACTAAATATGAGTGTAAAGTGTAAAGTAAAATATACAAATGATTAATGTTTGTCCATCGTACATAATTTGTAGTAATTTGTATTTGCGGACGTGCTCTAATCTTGCACAGAGAACCTCCCCATCTTGCGGGATTTATAAAATATCGCAGATGCGGGCAGGAGCGGGAATGAAAATTCTGTCCAAAGAAAGGGCCAAAGATCTCACCTTGTACACCTGGATTAATGTGTCGTGGCCGTTGTTTCCTTTTAAGTTTTGGTCTTTTTTCTCTTGATAGTTGTGGATAAATTGTTCAGTAATTACACACGGACGGGTCAGGACTAAATCAGGACTAAACCAGGATTAATCTTGGACTTAAAAGAGAGGGAGAACCCCGAGCTCGCAGCACTTACCTTCGTTGCGGCACTTCGCTCTGCTCTGGTCTTTTTGCCTGCGGTCACTTGACGAAGTCCTGGTTCAGTCTTGTTTAGTCCTGGTTCAGTCTTGTTTAGTCCTGGTTTAGTCCTGGTTTAGTCCTGGTTCAGTCCTGGTTTAGTCCTGGTTTAGTCCTGGTTCAGTCCTGGTTTAGTTGGTGTATGCAGTGCAGAAGTCCAGCATCTCGATCTCACAGACATTATTTACTTCTGCTCAGTAAATAAAGTTTGTGAAGTGATGACAGTCGAGTCGCGTCTGTGAATTTGTGCTCGTAGTGAAAAAAGTGAAACCATTTCATTTATTTCATTTTGTGACTGTAATTCTTGAAGCCTTAACTTTTCAATTCATATTCTGATTTCTGTTTCAGTTAGAATGTTTTTAATTTGTGTGTGATTTATCTCAGGCACGGGCGGGTCACGGGTGGAACGTTCAAGGGTCTGGGCGGGTGTCGGGTTCAACTTTGATAAAATCACGGGTTAACGGGCAGTGTTGGGAAAGTTACTTTAAAATGTAATCCCCTACAGATTACAGATTACACACACCAAAATGGAGTTTGTAACGTAATCCATTAAATTACTTAAAGTGAGTAATGTAATCTGAATACTTTGGATTACTTGATTTGCTGTAGAGAAACAAAGACGAGGAAATTTTAACCTTATTAAAAATGTTATTGATAGAAGAAGAGGAGACACGTCCGCGCAGCAGGATTTAGTCCTGTTAAATCCTGTTTTAGTCCTGTTTTAGATCTAGTTTAGTCCTGGTTTAGACCTGGTTTTAGACCTGGTTTAGATCTAGTTTAGACCTGGTTTTAGTCCTGGTTTAGATCTAGTTTAGACCTGGTTTAGACCTGGTTTTAGTCCTGGTTTAGACCTGGTTTAGACCTGGTTTTAGTCCTGGTTTAGATCTAGTTTAGTCCTGGTTTAGACCTGGTTTTAGTCCTGGTTTAGACCTGGTTTTAGTCCTGGTTTAGATCTAGTTTAGTCCTGGTTTAGACCTGGTTTTAGTCCTGGTTTAGATCTAGTTTAGTCCTGGTTTAGACCTGGTTTTAGTCCTGGTTTAGATCTAGTTTAGTCCTGGTTTAGACCTGGTTTTAGTCCTGGTTTAGATCTAGTTTAGACCTGGTTTAGACCTAGTTTTAGTCCTGGTTTAGTCCTGGTTTAGACCTAGTTTTAGTCCTGGTTTAGACCTGGTTTTAGTCCTGGTTTAGTCCTGGTTTAGTCCTGGTTTTAGTCCTGGTTTAGATCTAGTTTAGACCTGGTTTTAGTCCTTGTTTAGTTTCCAGCAGTGAGTGGAATTACCGAAAAAAAATAAAAATAAACATAATGTGAAAACAGGAAAATCCCTCTGTGTAATCCATTTATTTCAACAAAGTAACTGTAATCCAATTACCACTCACTGAAACAGTAACTGTAACTGAATACAGTTACTCATCATTTGTACTCTGATTACTCCAGTACATGTAATCTGTTACTCCCGACACTGGTGCAGGTCTCTAAAAATGGACCTGTGCAGGACTCTGGTCTACAGTCCTAAGATCTCTCCAACAGAAGGTGTGTGGAGTTTAAAAACACAGTGGAGCACTTCCCGTATCGCCACACGATGACATCACAAAGTGTTTTCTGTTTGAGAGAAGAACTGTGCGAACGAAACAAAAACCAGAAGCTCCAGGTCTGTTTGTGACGAGGAGGATCTGGGCCACAGACGGACACACAAATGACAAACACGAGTCTGGAGACGTTTAGTTTGAAGGTCGTTTGAGGAGAAGAAGAAGAAAACCCAACGATGTGACTTCACTTTGTTGAAGCAGCTGCACTTTAAAGCTTTTTTTACAAATCCAAGAACTACAGCGTCCCAGATAAATGCCGCCGCCGCCGCCGTCGTCTGCGCTGTTTGGATTAAAAACATTTGAGGATTAAGTGAAGAGGTTTGGGCACGTTCCAGAGCGACGGCTGTCCACGCTCCGCCAGGGTTTGTGTAACTGGTGAAGACCGGCATGCTAACGACACACACGCTGTAGCAACTTACTGTTAGATAGAGACATGCACATCCAACAAATGTTACGACTGTGTGCTGGGTCCAAAGACAAAAATAATACAAAGAGATCCACACTTCAGATCAATACCTCTGAAAACTGAGGATCTACAGTAGTTTTGATACTAGTTTTAGTATCGATTATTTTCTGATTTTCGATACTTTTCACAGCCCTCGTTGTGAGTGTGAAAGTGGAACAATACATGGCTACAAAAAAAGGACACACATCCGCACTGCAGTTGTCAAATTTTTATTTCTATGATGCCACAATGTGATGTTTACAAATCCAACATTTTACAAATTCATCCTGTTGTTGTGTCACTGAAATTAAAATCTGGGAGCTTCAGCGAACTGCAGTGTGGATCTCTTTCCTTTTTTTGTAGCCACGTATTGTCCGACATTCACACCCACGACCAGGGCTGTCAGAAGTATCGAAAAACAGATAATAATCGATACTAAAACTGGTATCAAAACTACTGTAGATCTTCAATATTCAGAGGTATCGATCCTAAAACGTCTCACTGACAGAAGAAAACAGAACCTTTCCTGAATGTGTGAAGAACGACCTGGAGCTGGACCAGACTCTGACTCTGACCTGGTGTGTGTTTTCATTGTGTGACTCTGACCTGGTATGTGTTTTCAGTGTGTGACTCTGACCTGGTGTGTGTTTTCAGCGTGTGACTCTGACCTGGTGTGTGTTTTCTGACTCTGACCTGGTGTGTGTTTTCAGTGTGTGACTCTGACCTGCTGTGTGTGTTTTCAGCGTGTGACTCTGACCTGGTGTGTGTTTTCAGCGTGTGACTCTGACCTGGTGTGTGTTTTCAGCGTGTGACTCGAGGCACTGGGGACCCGACTGCAAACGTCGGTGTCTGTGTGAGAACGGGGCGGAGTGTAACCCGGTGACTGGGCGATGTCGGTGCCCCGCGGG